CAATACTAGCTAGTTCGTTTCAACGTGCAGTAATAATTAGATTCGTTTGGTTGACCATCACTAGTGAGTAGTAAGGTCGAGCCTCATTGAGGAATCTAAACTTGGCATTTTGCTTTCACAGCTGGAAAGAAACTCCAACTAAAGACATTCCAATTAAATGGACCGATTCCATTGCACATGATACTGCTTGAGTATCAAAAGGGACTTAAATAACATTGAACATGACAGACAATCAAGAAAGAGAACATTTTTACCATAGTTCTTACATTCACGAAGGTATTATTTCTGCTGTTGATTTATTAAATACTTTTTGGTCTTGATATATTCAATTTTAAAAACTTAGGGTCTGATTGTTATTGCAAAATAGTATTTCTCAATAAACAGACAAAATATTTTGGTTTAGATACGAATTGTGTGATTTCTACGATTTTATTTTGAGAAATATTGCCATCGGTAAAATATATATATATATATATATATATATATATATATATATATATATATACATATTATATATATACGCATATTTGTATGTATACACGCATCATATATATATATATATATATATATATATATATACACACACACATTATATATGTAGACACACATTATATATATGTATATCTATATCTACACATGTACACATTATATATATATATATCTACACATTTTTTATATATATATATATATATATATATATATATATATATATTAGAAAAAAAAATGATGAAGAAGAACATATGCGTGTTCGGAGATTCCGAACTTGGTACCTCAATCACCGTGCTTAATTTTGGCATCTTTTTAATATTAATAAATGTTTTTTCGTACTGATAACATCGGTACCCTTTCCCTTGACTTTGTTTTATTGACCAATTTATCTACTCTCTCTCTCTCTCTATATATATATATATATATATAGACATATTTATAGACACATATTTATATATATATATATATATATATATATATATATATATATATATATATATATATATATATATATATGAAGAAAATTTGAAAAAACAAACAAAAATCCTTAAATGCAATTATGTTGTTTAAAATGAATGAAATGTCGACGTCTGACGTTTCGGTTTAATAAACCTTCTTCAGGACAATATTCATTAAAATACAATTCAGTTCAATTTGACAAAGACGATGGACATAAAAAACAAGTCCTATCTAAAACAGATAACTGAAAATTTTTAAAATGATCTGCTTTCCGTTTAGCATGGTCACGTTGTCGTCACATGGGCGACGCTTTCAAAACGTATTCCTAAAAATTTGTTTGTTTTTTCCAAATTTTTCTTCATTCTGTCGGATCTATATCCATTTACATTTGCTTACATATATATATATATATATATATATATATATATATATATATATATGCCGGATAAATACAAACTATGTTAATCAGAAAGAACGAATCTTGATTAGTGTTTTTTTCTAAATTATGCAAGACTTGAAGACATGCTGACATCGTCTTTTTTTAATTTTTGAATCGATTGATCGATTTGTTTGTTTAACGTCATATTAACACTTTTGAATCATTTAATGCCAAAATTTAATCTTTGAAATATTAAAATATGATATATGTTATTCTGCTTTCAGAATTGAGTACATGGTAGATGATGCTCAGCTTTTGTGTATATACATGTTTGTGTGGATATAATTACTAGAGGTCGTGAGAGGTGTATTTTATGTTGTACTTTCGTTGAAGTTATATTTTAGAATACAGTATGATTTCTTTAAGAAATTATAGTATATATATATATATATATATATATACATCTTTCATGTTGATTGGTTGGTTGGTTGGTTGATTTTGTTTAGCAGCATATCACCATCCATGGGTTATGTAATGCCGCAATCTAAACATTTTAACACAATTTTACGACACTAAATTTAATTCATGTTTATAATGTCAAATTCCTTCCGGTTTTGTTTTTCTGAATTCTCAGCTTGGTTTCATTTTCGACTCCGCTGGAAGACTCTATATCGTTATATTCAATTACATTTGGGCGGTTGATAAAACCTTTTCCGGCTTAATGTCGTCTGACCCATGGAAAGTATTTGTGTCTGCAGTCTCGATGGCGGTGAACTGATGATGTTGGCGGTGTTTCACTGTTTAGATAATTTCAAATAGAGACCCCATTTCAATACAAATCCAATAGAACAATGAAAATACTATCTTCACATTGATTGATACAATAGGCAGTATCGATATCGTCTTAGATTCAACATAAACTTCACGAAACCGCCAGAATGAAAAATGACTAAAAATCAGAGTTATTTACATTTCGTATATTCGACGTACTTACAATGAATTTTTACAATTAAAAAAAAAAAATCCGTTTTTGGCTTATTTATTGGGGTGAGCGCGAATGCAGACCCCACACATAAAAATAGCGCACCCGGTTCGCCGACATTTGGGCCAACTGCAAATGTCAACCCAAACGGGGTGCAATGAAAGGGTCTCACTCTGGGTGAATTTGGTGTGAATTTTAGTAAATATAAATTCTTTTTTTATTTGAAGGTGAATTGATAGATTTTGGGGTGAATTAACAGAGAAGATTCTTTAAACCTTGAATTCTTATAAACCGATGCGATAAACACTATAAAAATGCCAAAGGCTGTACATCCATTATCTGTATTTACAATGGTTTTAATGTTGTCCATAATCAATAATCGCAATCGCTTTATTCTACTGTTAACTCATTTATAGCCCCTGTATGTATTCCTTAACCGTATGCAAATTTTTCTTAATCACTATGTATTCGTCATAATAAAGAGTGTTTGAAATATCGTGTCCGCTTCGTATTTTGAAGAAGAAAAAACGACTTAGTTACAGAAGTAAATTAATTTATACACCAAGAGTTATCATCAAACATGCATGATGAATGATAGAACATTTGTACTCATTTAAATAGGCAATCATAAAAAAGACATAACTGATTTGTTTTTTTTTTATGGCTTATCAACCTTTTATGGGTCATGTAACGTAGAAACATTTTGGATTGCAAGAACGATACATTTTTGCGAATTAACAATCTTTTGAGAATAGCAATGATTTTTCCAGATACAAGTCTTACTATTTAACCCAGAGTTTGGGGGAAGGAGATAGATTCACACCATTTCGAAGTATAGTTGCGTGTAAGTGAATGTAACAAACCCGATTAGAATTCGAACTTGACACATCGATTTCTCATCTCGAGCCGTTATCTAATACACCATCTTACATAGAGATAATCAGAAAAACAAAAACAACTGAAACAGATAAATGACTGAAATATATAAATTTGCGAGTTCATTTCCAGATTCGGAAAAAGAAAACAATACGAGAAATAGAAATTTGCACCTGCTCAAAGTTAAGGTCCATAAGAATGCAAGTTCGAATACCAAACAACAAATAACATAAGCGGCATGAATAAACCCGTGCCTTTTCCAGAACAATATCCGTCCCTTTTGTAATCTTTTCCTGGTGCGAAGCAATTATTCCTTCAACCTTTTATTCCTATAGCCTTAACTTTTATCTAAAATCGTTGAGTCATTACAACAAGTGCGGTGACTTTCCTTTAAACACATACATTCCTTTAAAAGCATTCGATACTGGATGCACTTGAAAATCTGGACACTTCCACATTTCAAACAATTACTGGATAATAAAATCAATGACCGTTCTCTTTTGGTACCGAGTGTGCATTTCGACATATCCAGTGCCCTTCATCGCCCCAGTTCAAATCAAACCAATATTCCTTCTCGAGAATCCTATATTCAAGAATTCGCTCATCATTCCCAAATTCAATATCAAGCCCAACAAGGTTTCTCTTACCTTAATTCTATAATCCATTTCCATACATGTGCAGTGCATAAGATATAGCCATGCCCTCAGACTTTCTGTAGAATGCCAGCAAATCGAATTGTCTTTTATCAAGGCTTGTTTCGCTTTAGACAACAATTACGTTGCGCCCTCGTATGATTTCTTTGCAAGTAAGATTCATCTCCAAGAATTCATTTTGTCAGTTTGAAGATGTGAAATATATGGCAACCCTTACTACCTAAATTAAAAATTTATGAATTCTTAAATAAAAAAATGTCCAACGTTTAATAGCATCGAAATATCAAATTTCAAAAAGCGTATAAAACGAAAAAAAAGAAAAGAAAAATGTCTCATTTCCAGAACGAATCGGGCCCATCAGCCAAAAAGAAAAGAACCCCCCCACAAAAAAAAACAAACCTTCAGATAGTTAGCCGAAGGAAGTCGACAAGAATGGTTTGGTTTGTTTTGTTTTACGGCATATCAACATCAATGGGTCATTTAATGCCGATAACATTTTTTTCCAGGTAATAATTTTGTTTTGTCAAAAATCTATATCTGGTAATATTTGTTTCCTCAAAAACGTATAGCTGGTAAAGTTATTTTAAAAATGAATTGCTGGTAACATTTTTTTTTTAAAAAACGTATTGCTGGGAATATTTTTTTTTTTACAAAAACGTGTTGCTAGCAATACTTTTTTTTTCTTCAAAAATTTATTTCTGGTAATAATTTTTTATAAAGTATTTCTGGTATTAAAACCTATTTTTACACTTTCATAATGCTTTTTTACCTCAGTTTCGGGGTTAACTATTTACCCATAGATGGGACCCTAACAGGTGCTACCACCCCAGGTCAGGGTGGACCTGGGAACACCAGCAATTAAGAGGTGGTTCCACGCTCCTCAAAACCTCCTGATCAGAGGCCTTGCTGTTGGACGTCTTACCCAAGATGTGGATGTAGTTTATCGTCATACCCAGGACGCTCGACAGAAATTCTTCGCAAACAGAGATGGGTATAAATTCCTACAATTCCAATATGACGACTTTCATGGCCAATAAGGCACACAGCTGAGGACGATGGAGAGGCTACCAAGTTCACAAGTGGTACTGTGACCAAGATTTCCATACAAAAGCAATCGATAACTGAATCAGAAAGTGAAATAAAAGCGTTACTAGCGTAACGACTAACAAAGACTCGGCGAGAGGAAAACACATACCCACCTAAGCATGCCCACTGAGCTTGAGACTGGAAATACAACAGACATACAAGAGAAAGAAAGACACACGACAGAGAGAGAGAGAGAGACGCACACGAGAGAGAGAGAGAGAGAGAGAGAGAGAGACGCACACGAGAGAGAGAGAGAGAAAGACACACGCACACGGAAGAGAAAGAAAGTGAGAGGGAAAAACACACGCACATGCAAGGGAGAGAAAGAGTCACGCATACGCAAGAGTGAGAAAGAGTCACGCATACGCAAGAGAGAGAAAGAGTCACGCATACGCAAGAGAGAGAAAGATACAAGCATACGCAAGAGAGAGAGAAAGATACAAGCATACGCAAGAGAGAGAGAGAGAGAGAGAGAGAAAGAGACACGCACATGAAAGAGAGAGAAAGAGACACGCACACGAGTGAGAGAGAGAGAGAGAGACACACGCACATAGAAGAGAAAGAAAGTGAGAGGGAAAAACACACGCACATGCAAGAGAGAGAAAGAGTCGCGCATACGCAAGAGCGAGAAAGAGACACGCACACGAAAGAGAGAGAAAGAGACACGCACACGAAAGAGAGAGAAAGAGAGGCAGACACAAAGCTGTTCACCTGCTACCTGAAGGAGAAACATTTCTCAAGCTCAGAGTTGGTGTCATCAGTGATCGTCCTCGTCGCAATATCGTCTCATCATCATGGTATTGTTTATATACCCATTTACTAAAGATCTGAAACTGTACTAAAGCAGAAAGAGGATATGACCAAGGAGAGAGCTTTTGGTGGTCGACAGCATTGATCTCATGGGCTTCACATTAACAACGACCTTCATTGGCCTCACTGATAGGAAAGACTTAATAACTGAGGAGATTTCATAGCGTGAGGGTTTGTGTAGCAGTCCCTTTGCGACACCTTGTCAAAGGCTTTCGACATATCTAAGGCGATCGCTCTCGAGATGTGTTTATTTTGAATCGTTTCACTAGTTCTATGCGTGATGATAGGTCCACCGCTGATATTTTGGCTAACAGCTCGAAAACCACTCTGCTTGTCGCTCAAGAGGTTGCTTCTGATGAGATGATCAACAGTTTTTTGATGATTACAATAAAGAATCTAATGAGGCAATATTGTGACCAGGACGATATCTAACTTACATATCCTCATAATAGCTATCTCTTCCTCCTATACACGCTTACAATAATCCCATCCAGTAACCCTCTACCTTGAGTGGCTCTTGGGTCTGGTATCGGGTGAACAATAGTAAACAAATGTTAATAAAATGAAAATAAACAAACCATAGTAAAAAAACAAACAAAAAAACAAAACAAAAAAAACACCCTCACATATATGAACCCATAATATGACTGAGATCTCTGCAGAGATGGCGTCCAGAAACAGGCGACAGAGACCAACCCGTCATAAATATAAGCCAATCTTCAGACAAATCCAACACCAAATCCCACCCAACATCAAATTGGAATTAAATTAGTTTCTTACGAGTAGGCGTCAACGGACCTTAGTGCGTAAATCTGCGTTAATCCGAAACCGAAATTAAAAAAAATAAACGAGAGACGATGATGAGTGGGCTCTGTCAAGTAAGCGAAAAATAAATCCATTCTTTCGTTAACCCGGGCATCTCGTTATCATTTATTTAAAAAAAAATGTTTATAATTGTTAGCGGTATTTTTGTAGTCGTAAGTATAGATAGAATTGATAAAGATATTCCACTCGTCTAGTCCACGAGGCTGGAGCTGGGTCTTCAGACCTGTCAGTAATTCCTCCCCCCAAAAAATACACATATATATATATATATATATATATATATATATATATATATATATATATATACTAGCAGCGTTGCCCGTGCTTGATTAAAAAATCGTACGACTCGTACAGCAATCGCTATCACTTGACTTAAAATATTTTTGCCCTTCCTGGCCTTTAAAGGAGTGCCCTTTACCATGCTGATGTTGCTACATGCCTTACTTCTTGCCTATCTCACACTGCGAATTTTTTCTAAGCTCTATACTAAACATTAAATCTGTTACGAAAAAAAAATCAAACAAAATGAACACAAAACGATCAGCTTTAAAAAAGGACTCGTAACTGAAAAAAACCGAATGAAAAAAGAATGTTAACAACAAATACTTTTTCACATCCAACCCAGTTCTGCGGAATCAGAATCAACGTTGAGTTTAAGCAAGCGAATGAGCCAATTGAAGTAAAGTCCCACTTGTGACGAATGCAGCTATCGATTTTTTTTGCATGCTAGCATGCTAGTTAACATTCGTGTCAGTCAGCTGTTGGCTCTCACGCAGTCCAACAGAATCTTCCTGCCTATTCGTGGCAGCCAGCTATTGGCTCTCACTCTGGCCAGTATAAAATGGCCGCAAACTACAGGAAAACTGCCGTAGAAGCATGAAAAAATCGATTATTTCCATTTAATTGGGAGTTGGGAAATGCAAAGTCGATCTTGGCCTTCCCGCTAACTTGGAGCATGTGCATGTAAATTTTGTGTGCAAATCCGTCGAAAATTGCGGCCGTGCATTCGTTACACACACACACATCCTACCTTTTATATATATATATATATATATATATATATATATATATATATAGAGAGAGAGAGAGAGAGAGAGAAGTATTTTACAGAAGCAGGTAGCTGAGTATTACACAGATGAAATAACTAATCAATCTCCGAAAGAGGATGCCGCAAAGGCGATTTTTTCTTCGTTTGCGGAGATGTTTGTTGTAACACGGAGGGATTCCAGTTTATGCTGAAAGATCGGGACCTCTCAGGTCCGAGTACACAAGTCGCGGAAGGTCGCATAAGAAAAGATACGCGATAAAACCGGGATCCGATGTAACGTGGTAGTTGTAGATAGGTAGGAAGCGAATGGAGGCATTGATCGACACCGGCGCGGCGATATCGATGATGAGGATAGACTAAATTGAAGGATTAGAATTTAATTAAAAAAAAAGCTACAGATTTAAGGATATTTCAGGCTGATGGTAATGAAACGGGGTTATATTGCATAGTACAGCTGCTTTTAACGGTGTGGTAGGAGTTTACCAAAATGCAGAAGTTATATTTGGCATCGCCTATTTGGAAATCAATGATATTTGATAGGATTTTTATTGAGAAGGACAATGTACAAATAAGTTTCTATTCAACACTGCTAATTGAAAGTATCAGATTACTCTACCAATGCTACTGGTAAATGTGTTACAGTTTTTTATATATATATATATATATATATATATATATATATATATATATATATATATATATATATATATATATATATATATATATATATATATATATATATATATATATATAAATATATATATATATATATATATATATATATATATATATATATATAAATATATATATATATATATATAATAAATATATATATATATATATATATATATATAATATATGAGCGAGTCAAATGATTTAACTCCCTTTATAGTCTACCAATAGAAGGTTAACAAATCAGAAGCCGCAGAACATTCTATCCGTCATTGTATAAAGGCGGCCATTTTTGTTTATCCTACCGGAATGACCAGTGCCAACTTGTCAGGCGAAGATGACAGAAGGAAGTACTACGCTCTGCTACTTTGCTGCGATATCCACTGCTAACCTGAACTACGCTTTCCTACTGTCTCCGAAATATTCACTGCTAACCTCTGGATTCTACACTCGAAGACGACCGTCATGAATTTGTAACATCATGTAATCCAGTACTACCTGTTGCATGGTCGGGTCACCAGTGAATAAAAGGGTTCCGCTAACAAAATTGTTTGTGGTGGCGAAGGTGGCTAGACATCCAGTAATATAACAATTGTAACCTAGGGAAGGTTACTGAATAGAATAATCACATGAAGGTTGGTAATGAACGATACTACTTAGCATAAGAACAACACATTATTCCAGCGGCATGTAGAAGTAGTAGTCAACTGCTAGAGTCGAGCTACGTGAATTCCAAAATGAATCTCCAACTGCAGGATATCTACCAACCACCTCACACGGTCAGATATAGCACAAAGCCGAATTTAATGTCGGGTATTCGAGCTCGTGGGCTCGACCAAAAATTTTCATTAGACCCCGTATAAAACGGAGTCGGGTAGCTGTTTCCAGAGACGAAACTCTGCCCTTCGACATAGCCAAGTCTGGGGATCCTCTCAGCTTGGAGACAGAGAGTTTGACCAGCACAACTGAAACTGAAGTATATTTATTGTGCAAATGTACACAATTATGGCACAAGACCGAAATGGGGAATGGGTTGAGGCTGGTCTTCACTATCTTACACCTAGCTAATCCGATTCACAACCCAATTCACTCGTTACAATTTGCGCATTCACCACAAAAAAAAAAAAAAAAAACTCGTCCGTCGTCAATCAATTCTCCATATACCATAATACCGCATCCTCTCAGGGGGATCTAAAAAAACGCGCCCCGTCACACCTTGTCAAAGGCTTTCGACATATCTAAGGCGATTGCTCTCGAGATGTGTTTATTTTGAATCGTTTCACTAGTTCTATGCGTGATGATAGCTAAAATATCAGCGGTGGACCCAACAGCTCGAAAACCATTCTGCTTGTCGCTCAAGAGGTTGCTTCTGATGAGATGATCAACAATTTTTTAATCCGATTCACGACCCAATTCACTCGTTATAATTTGCGCATTCACCACAAAAAAAAAAAAAAAAAAAAAAACTCGTCCGTCGCCAATCAATTCTCTATATACCATAATACCGCATCCTCTCAGGGAGATCTAAAAAAAAAAAAAAAAAAAAAAAAACGCGCTCCGTGGCATAAAAATTTGATGATAATAAAATTTATACATAAAAATTTATGGATGAATGAAAAATGAGAGGGGAGGAGGATGAACCCATAAACAAACAAAATATTAAACAAAGCAAAAATAAATATAACTGATGTTAGTAGGACCCGTTCAAACCTCAAAAAAGAGAGGCCGCTGTATTCTGCCCTGCGACAAAATCAAGAAGCTCTCTCGCTATAGGAGAGGGAAAGGAGGAGTATAGACAGACATGGAGAATCAATAAAGCCGACCCAGTCAAGATGAAAAGGGGCCAAAACAAACTGGGGAGGTTGGGAATCTCAACTTGGATCATAACCAAAGATGTAGCCAGGAGCAGGCCAGGAACAACACTTACTCATATTAACTAGGTACACAAAGCTTGTCTAGCCTAACCAGAGAAGGGCCCCACAAGAAAACTCGCCGATTTGATATAGGTTGACCTAAAAGAGAAAATCAAGGCTAGCCTTGTTCAAACGAACCAAGCTCGCCTCAGTCACCTTTCTTTAAAGTCTGTCGAATGCAAGCATTTTCTATCTGTTCTAATCTTCATCTTGAGTTGATGTTCAAAGAATCGGATCAGATCCTGATGAGAAAGACGGTTGCCTCGCAAGACTTCCTCCGATCGCGTCGTCCAAATCACCATTCGGATCGTGGCTAGCAGCGTTAGAAACATTTCGCCCCAGAATACGGGGGCGATACATTGTCACACGTGTATGCGCGATCAATGGGCACGAGCTTTTCGGGATCGATACGAGTCGTCAGCTCGGCGACATGGTCCCATAGGGGGCGGACCCGAGGACAATGGCAGAAGGCGTGCGAAGCCGTTTCCTGTAAGCCAAGGTCACATCGTTCACAGTCTGGCAAATCTGCCAAGCCCCATATGGAGGCCATGTCATTGAGACGTAGCCTGTTCGGAGCCAGTTGCTAGGTAAGCGAAAACTCAGGGTTACTGAGGTAATCCGCCGCTGGCGCCCAAGGCCAGAAGGAGCTAAACTCCTCCCTCGACAAGTCGAGTCGCTCACGTAGAGGATCCTTCGCGCCCCACTCAACTAGATAACGATAGAGGACCCTCCTAGGCGGAGAAAGGTCACTGGACCGAGGAATGTCCCTCAAGGCCTGTCGACACTCGCGAAGGAAATCCGATTCATCCCGGGGCTTACGATGGCTCTCTGCCCGCGAGTTGGGGTGATCGATAGTAAGGAAAGGGAAGGCGTCCCTTACAATCCCCAGCAAAATCGAATCTCTTGTCAATGCGCGGCGTAGGAAGGCGACCATGTGACTCGCCAAGTCTGGCATCCCCAGCCCCCCATGACATGGACGTTGTACACAGACTTTTCTCTCGACCTGATGCTTGCGTCCCCTCTCCAAAATGGCGGATAGCAAGCGCTCGAGTGGCTTCTTATGATCCTTACAGAGAGGAAGTACAGACAAGCGATAACGGACAATAGAAAAAGACCTAAGTGGCACACGCCTCCACCCTGCCCTGCCTTTCACGGACAACCTCCGTTGACGCCCAGTCTGACCGGCCGCGTCGATCGTTGCCTGTACTTCAGACCAATATTTCTCCAGCTGGAGGTCGGATCCAAACCACACTCCAAGAATGTGAACAGGACCGTCCGTCCAACCAAAGGGCCACGGAGGATCGACCCTCTTCCAGGCACCTAACCACAAGCCGGACGACTTGTTGCGGTTAATCTTGGCCCCTGTCACCCTTTCGTACCGTTCAAACGTTATCACCTCAATGTCGCTGAGCGACGACAAAAAAAGTAGATACGTCATCGGCGTCCGCGGAAAACCCTGGTTCGAGCCACTCTAGTGACAGCGATTCCACGAACCACAACGACTCGGAACGAACCACTTTTCACAGCAATATCGGTCACATTCAACCGGCCTTCGGCATCGACATGAACAAGATCCACACTCGCATCCAGGGTACGGCTAACCAGCAAATAAACTTCTCTTGCATATCGGTCCCCATATGCTGAATAGACGACAAATTCGTTAGACAGCACACACACATCGAAACTGTAAACAAAGTGGGTCTCTTCGATCGCGGCAACATCCACTCCGAATGACAAGAGGTCATGGAGCAGAGGGGTAGCCTTCCCCGATCACTCACTTTGCATTCAGAATGGTTAATTTTCTTTTTCTCCCTAGAGGGATGGGAGGGGAAGAAGTGGATGTGTATGGGAGGTGTAGATACTGAACTGAGGAAAGAGGTGGAGGGAGAGGGAGACGGAACACGAGAAAAGGAAGTAGGGAGACTCCTTGCTTTTGGCGAAACAATGGCTTGGCGAAGCAGGGACAGAGAGTGACCTAGTTTTGTCCGTGACTCTCTCCGCCCTACTACGACCAGAGTACTTTTGCTGTCTTTCGTCTTCCTCTTCTTTTTCTCTGCTCCTTTTTAATGACGTTGCCCGAGGTGGAGGAATTTTGTCCACCTACGTTGACGTGTCTATCTGTTGCTGATGTTTCTTTCCTTGTTGTTGTTGCTGTTGTTTTTTGTTGTTGTTGCTGCTGCTGATGTTTTTGGTGCGGCTGTTTTTGCTGCACCTCGTTTTGTGGCTGCACCTCATTTTGTGGCTGCTTCTCTGGTCGCTTCTGCGGTGGTGTTTGCCACTGGTTGAGGTACCTCTTGTTTTGAAGGAGACGGAACGTTTGTCGATTTCTGGCTCCTTCTTACCTCCTTCCATGCGCCATCAGTGTTTGATGTTCCCTCCTCTTCTTGGACTGGTGCTGTTGTTGCTGTTGTCGTTGCTGGACGAGGTGGAGATTGTACATGGTTACCGGGGCACTCATTCGCCATGTGCCCCGAAGCTCCACATGACCAGCAATACGGTCTCCTGCTCTCCACCACTACCAGCGTCCTCATATCGCGGCAAATCAGTATGTTTGGTATTTCCTTGGAACTTTTCCGGTTTACCGTGATATGCAACTCCACATCTCCTGTCGCTCTGCCGACTTTACTATGCCTTTACTTCATTTACTTCGCCGTATTTGGCGAAAAAAGCCACCATTCTGTCGTCAAATATGTCTACGGGCACCCCATGGATGGTAAACTTTGTCTTACGG